CTGTCCTTTTGGGGGGTCGGTTTGCTCTTTTTAGACGCTGACTCCTTCTCAGTTGGGCTAACTTTTCTTTTTCCCTGGTCATTTTTTTTGGGTGTTCGCTCCAATTTGGACTTTTCTTTCTTCATCTGAAGAGGGGAAAAAAGAAGAAAACAAAACAGCCCCTGATGAAACACAGACGACTTCTATCCTGCTGTACACATGCCCCCGAGGCGAGGTGACAGCCAGGGGAGCTACTGAGCCAGGCTGCTGCTGTCACAATGGAGGTGTCAGGTCACCACCACTCTCCAAACTCACAGACATTAACAATAGGTACAGAAAGCCAAGAATCGAGTGGTCAGTTTCAAATAAAAAGAGAGGGTCACGGGGTAGACAACTGTCCTAAAGTTTCTTGACTACATAAAGCTAATGTCTCCTCAAAACCTTGCATATACAAAGTCAGAGCAGCACTGTAGTATATGGTGTGCATACACATTATAGTCATCAAATGAAAGAGTCCAAACATCTCTGGGGAACTTAGGATAAACCAAAAACTACCCAGAGCCACCCAATGGGACACTATCGGAAAAGGACTGAATAGTAATACATACTACAACTTGGTATGCCTTGAAGCCAGTATAAAAAGTGAAAAGGCTAAAAACAAAACGCCACATATGGTATGATTCTACATATATTAAATGTCCAAAACAGGCGAATCCATAAAACAAAGAACAGCACAGTGACCGCCAGGCAGAGGGTATGACAAGCAACCATCAGTAAGTACAGGATTTCTTCTTGGAGGTAATGACAGTGTTGGAATTAGATGCAGTAACTGGGCCAACAAGATGGTTCAGTGGGTAAAGGTGCTTGCCACCAAGCCTAATGTCCTAAGTTCAATCCTCAGAACCCACACTGTGAAAGGAGAACCAACTCAGGCCAGTTGGTTCTGACCTCCACATGCATGCCATGTGCCAGACAAATAAAATACATACCATCAAAAATAAGCCAAATAACTTTTTAGTTAGATAGTGATGATCACTGCACAGGTGTGTGAATTACACTAAAAAAAAAAGTGAATTTTGAGGAATGTAAATAATCTTAATCTTAAATCTAAAACAGTTAACTGCCTTCCAGTAATGCTAGACCTTAGGAATGACCATTTAAGGGAAGACATTTCTGGAGATTCAAAATAACTATCCACTCAAAAAAGTTATCACTTCCAAAGCAGGAAGTCATTCCACTCATGGAGAAGAGCGGCAGACACCATATCAACCAAGTATCAAGATCTATCAGCATCATGTGCACGAGACACACCGGAAAGGACACTGTATGACCCTGTGGTATTCCTGCCACACTGGGTAACACAATCTAATTGTGACAATGTCACACAACACCACGACAAACATTCTCCTACTGTGACTGAAGAAAGTAAAGAACGACAGGACTACCCTAGGCTGGAGGAGGCTGGACAGCACAATGTCGTGCAGGATCCTGGAGCCGAGAAAGGACAATAGGAACACTGTGCTGTACGGCAAACACACACACTGCAGGTGACCACGGAGCAGCACGTTCATCCCCTACGTCCTGCAACCTGACCACGGGTACAGAACCCCACCATCCCCTACTGCAACCTGACCACGGGTACAGACCCCATCATCCCCCACTGCAACCTGACCATGGGTACAGAACCCCACCATCCCCCACTGCAACCTGACCACGGGTACAGAACCCCATCATCCCCCACTGCAACCTGACCACGGGTACAGACCCCACCATCCCCCACTGCAACCTGACCAAGGGTACAGACCCCATCATCCCCTACTGCAACCTGACCACGGGTACAGAACCCCACCATCCCCACTGCAACCTGACCATGGGTACAGAACCCCACCATCTCCTACTGCAACCTGACCATGGGTACAGAACCCCACCATTCCCTGGGGCTTTTCTCCTGGAAGAAACTGGACGGACAATCTTGTCACACTGGTGACGGAGCTGGGGACAGTAGTCCTGGCATCCAGGCACTCCTGTGTCCTGCATGTGGACAGGCAGGTGGTGGAATGAAAAACAGCACTCACTGGGAGGTGCAAGCACAGAAAATGAAAGGGTCAGTACTGCCAGCTAGGCAGACTGAGTCCATCCTGCCCCCAGCTTAGCCATGTGAGCCAACTTTTCTTCTTCTTTTTCTCCTACTCCTTCTCCTTTTATTATTTTTTTTACCCTTTGTTGAAAGGCAATAGAGACTAGCTTCTGTCATAATTGAAAAACTCCTAGTAAAGTTTTCACTAAAGATGCTGATAAACGCCTCTTTAAAAAACAAAGAACAGAAAACAAAATGTTCAGGCATCAACATTTATAATAAAGTCAATACAACAATAAAGAATATGGATTGGAGACATGGCTCAGCAGGTAGGAGCACTTACTTCTCTTGCAGAGGACATGAGTTCAGTTCCCAGAACCCATGTCAGGTGGCTTACAACTGCACATAACTCTAGATCCAGGGAAAGATGCCCTCTTCTGGCCTCTGTGAGCACCGCGTTCATGTGCATGTGCATAGATAGATAGACAGACAGACAGACAGACAGACACACACACACACACACACACACACACACACACAGAGACATACACACAAATTTAAAAATTGTGGCCAGGTGTAGTGGCACACGCCTTTAATCCCAGCATTCCAGTGGCAGAGGCATGTGGATCTCTATGAGTTTGAAGCCAGCCTGGTCTACATATCAAATTCCTTACCAACCAAGGCTAAGTATTTTTTTTTCAACCCAGCACTTGGGAGGCAGAGCCAGGCGGATCTCTGTGAGTTCGAGGCCAGCCTGGTCTATAGAGCGAGATCCAGGACAGGCTCCAAAACTACACAGAGAAACCCTGTCTTAAAAAAAAAAAAAAACCAAACAGATGGAAGATAAGAATTCGTAGGTGTGGTATACACAGCACACTATTTGTCACCCTCCCCTGAAAGGTAAACAAACACCAAAGGCATCCTGAGACACAGTCTTTTGGGTCACAAGGAATTCCCTTGAGGTGCAGGGGAGTCTGCTCTTCCAGACCACACACAGTAGTGTCTATATGTTATGCATCCCCATCACACACGAGGTCTTATGCCAACTTCAATAACCCAGGTTTGTCTTAGACACACCTCAGCTTCAGCAGCTATTTCATACTTGGATTTCTTGCCTGGCATAGTTCGAATCAGATCCAACAGACCATCTTCATCAAGGATTTTTGTTCCCA